TAGCCAGTGCACTCCCACGGGGGGAGCACGGCTCAGCCAGAAGCCAGGCTCATGGCTGACGAGCAGAGCCTCTCCCGCCTCCATGGCAGCGCTAAGGACATCCCCCGAGGACTCCTGGACTCCAAGGTCACAGGCCAGGATGAGGGACCCCCCCCTCCTGAATGCATCAATTTTTTGCCCGAGGTCTCTAGTACTGAATAATTTTATCAAAAGGAAAAATTAGCCCCTTCTCTGTTTTAAAGATAAGTTAGAGGCCAATTAAATATAATTATCTGACACTGGCATTTTTATTTTTATTTTATTTTTTTTATATATATATTTTATTGATATTTTACAGAGAGGAAGAGAGAGGGATAGAGAGTTAGAAACATCGATGAGAGAGAATCATCGATCAGCTGCCTCTTGCACACCCCCTACTGGGGATGAGCCCGCAACCAAGGTACATGCCCTTGACTGGAATCGAACCCGGGACCCTCCAGTCCGCAGGCCGACACTCTATCCACTGAGCCAAACCGGTTTTGGCTGACACTGGCATTTTTAATATATATATTATGCAAAGTACTCAGTAACTTGTACTTTTACTTACCTTATTTACATGTACTTATATTCACAGGTACTTATATTTTTAAAAACCTTTCCACCTTATATAGGCCACTTATTTTCCTACTAGGTAAGAAAATGTGGCCTTAGACTGTTTTTCAGAACAAAAAGTCTGTTTCTAGTACAAATGGAAGAGACTGACATAGAAATAATTGTTATCAAATGTTGACAGATTACATCCCAACTGAAAATTATTTCTAGTCCATCCACCCAACTTTTTAATTCATGTTGACATTTAGAAGAAATTAGACATCTTTAATGAAACTAAACATTAATTTTTATTACTAAAAACTATAATACTTTGATTCAACAATGGAATTTTTGTAACTTTTTCACTTATATTTGAGAATTTGAAATTAAAAAATAATCCAGCCATAAACAAATATAGAAACCTAAAGGCAGATGAACATACACTGGCACTCTGTTTAATGAAACAATCCCAATTTTATTTAAGACTTGATTACAGAAATAACACTTTGGAAGAGATTCATTCAACTATGATCCTATACTGAACAGCAGCCTTTAATATATACAAAAAAAGCTCTTAATTTCAAAAAGATTAAATTATTGAATAGTATGAGTATAATTATTTTAAGTAGTAGAGACCATTGAAAGTCAAAAACAGATACAATGGAAAACTTAACTTTTGTTTCAAATCCTCACCAAGGGCATGCTTGGAGGGGAGAGGGCAGAGGGGGAGAAACATCCAGTAATTTGCCTTCCATAAGGTACCTAACTGGGGATCAAACCAGCAACCCCAGGTATGTGCCCTGACTGGGAATCAAACTGGCAACCTTTTGGTGCACAGAATGATGCTCAACCAACTGAGCCACTCTGCCCAGGTGAAAAATTAACTGACTTTAATATACAAATCAGTCAGGGGGGGTGGGGGGGAGAGACACGGGACACACCAGAATTTATCTCCAGGTAATTAGAATTGATCTCAACTCTAATTTCAATATCAGTAGTTGGCCTAACTTTTCGATTTACTAAGTATTCATTCATACCTAAGTACCAGCTAATTCTTAAAACAAATTATATTCTTCATGGTTAGTGAAGAGCATCCAGTATTTCTAGTATTCTGTAACAAATCAGTTTCTTTTTTATTAGTGAGATGGCATCATACCACCAGGCCAAATATCATGTATATGCCTTGCTGTACAGAAAGTTTGTTTTATATTTAATGTACATTCAATTGCTGTATCCACAGCTCTCCCAAAATATGTATTATATACATATAATAATTATTTTCTATTCAACTCACTCATACTTTGAGTCCTAATGTACACTACTGTATTTCTTAAAAACCTTTCAGAGTTTAAATTTGTTTGAGGAACTTTCCTTAATTTGTAAGGAAATTTAGTTATTGCCAAAATAATCTTAGACTATTCAAAGCCTTTAAACCCAGCTGATTCTAAGAAATTCTTCCATCTATAAAACATGATAAATTATAACCAAATTAACAAATCAGAATCAGAATGCCAAAAATTAAGTCATTAAAAGGGAATCTAGAGAAAGGGCCAGTTGTGAAAGAACAGGAAGTGATGTACACTGCCATTTTGTGGATGAACTATTTAGTAACAGAAGTACCATACTAATCTGAAATCAACCTACCCAGACTAAGAGCTCTCAGTATTCTTTCTGACAGTGGCATCAGAAGTCGGCTGAAATAACCCTCCGGCAGTTTCTCCTTAATAATGAATTTATCAAACTGATCGTAAACAGACTTTTACCACTTTTAGCACAATTCCCACCAGCCACAGAAAACAGGATTTCTTTTTAGTTGTCCTAAAAAGTACCTCTTTAGTTCTAACATGCTGAACTATAGCAAGTAGTTTACCTATATCCTGTGTACATACTTACATTTTATAGTCTTTATTAATAAACCTTCTCTGCTTGCATCTTTCCAAGATAAAAAGTCACTCTTTACTAAGCAGTATGTTTGCATTTATTCATGCTAGTATATATTATATGAATTATCGACAACAAACCATAACAGAGAATTAAACTTTATGGAATAATTTACCGTATAGGGGAAAACTCTACACACCACAACATGTAGCTTTGTGTCATGAAATAAAGATTTATAGGCAGTGCTGTTAAAATAACTCTAGCCCTGGCTGGTGTTGATGAGTGGTTAGAGCATTGGCCTATGCAGTCTTGGGTTCCATCCCAGGTCCAGAACACGTAACCTGGTTCGCTCCCTGCTCATCACCCTCATCTGGGAGGCAAACAGTCAATGTGTCTCTCTCACACTGATGTTTCTCTCTCTCCTGCTCACCTTTCTAACTCACTCCCCACTCTCTCTAATAAGTAATGGGGAAAAATATCCTCAGGTGTGGACAAAACAACGAAGAAAGTTAAAATAAACCCTGATAAAAATTAAAAAATAAAGAAAGCAAAATTCCATTTTCTGAGGAAAAATAATAAATCTAATTTAACAGACCATTAATGTGTCTCCCCATATTGAAATCATAAAATAAGATGACAGAAACTAAATTGGTGTCTAACCCTTTTACTACTAACATCTTTAAATCCCTGTCTTTCAACAGGTTTCAAAATTCAAAAACAAAAAAAACAAAACAAAAACTCTTATGGACATTAAATTTAGATGGCATTTGAAATTCGTCTAAAAATAAGTCACCCACTAAGTGAAGCTTAAAAACCAAATAGTAAAATATCAAGATAATTCATGTCTATATATACACTAGAGGCCCAGTGCATGAAACTGGTGCATGGGTAGGGTCCCTAGTGGCTGCCTGCTGGGCCCCCCCCCTTCCTGCCACCAGCAGGGGCAGGGCTGTCAGGGGAATGGACCCCTGGCGGTTGGCTGGCCAGCCCTGCCCCCTGGTCGAACTCCCTAGTGGAACTCCTAATGGAGGGGACAATTTGCATATTAGGCTTTTATTATATGAGGCGGGCATTTTAGTTTTCTTCGTTGCTTTGTGAAATAATTAATTCTGTGAATATTTAATATGGAACATTTTGAAATCACTTCATCACTAAATTTATATGCTAAAGAAAAAAGTATCAACAGTAACTTCAAGACTACTCTTTGGTAACAAAATACACGTGGCAACACACTTCCAGAATGTCAAAATATTTATTTTTCTTATTTCTACTCTACTAAAGGACGCAACCAACAAGGACTACTGTAAACCCTCAAGAAAATTTGTCTTAAACAAATATGACATGAAGCAAAAGAAGTGGAAAAACAACTTATTGACTACAAATATAGATGCTATCATAGCATAATTAAGCAAATTACAGCATTTATTTTTTTTCATTTCCTTTAACAAAGCATTTGCTTCAGAAAGACTTGTAACCTAATTATTTTCAAAGTTTTCCAATTTCAGTGTTCTACAAAACAGCATTAACTCTAAAATTTCAGAGCCCAGAGAGGAATGTCAATCAGACTGCCTGTCTGTATGCAATGATCTTTAGCAATTCTTCAAGAACTACAAAAGTCATAGGAAGAAAATAAAACGAAACAAGGGGGTCGGGGGACACCAAGTTATCTTATTTGAATCCTAATGAAAACCCAATATGCTCATACAAAAATGTCAATCCGGTGTTTAAAGAGAGACATTAAAACTGTTCTAACATGGCAGGGTCCCTTCTCGAGAGGCCTATCCTCCCCCCACCCCCACCCCACCCCAGACAATAACAACAGAAACAGATACACTTCCCGGGGGCAGATCTCAGGGGAGGAGTGTTAAACCGGTACTGTTATCGATTTAAAACCAAAGGAAAAGAGTAACCTTTCCAAGGGAAGCGCCATTACTTCCCGGTCCTGCTCCCCCTCCCTTCAGGGTATGCCCGGGCCTGTGTATGAAGATTGCCTTGGACTTCTGCAGCACTGCAGCAGACTAACGATGGGGTAGAGGGAAGGGTAAGGGGAGAAAAATCGCTTCCATCACCCCCTACAGAAGAGGGGTAGTTTTCCTGGGGTTTGGGGGCTGGGGTGGGGAGAGGCCTAGGAATCCACCCAGCAGACTACCCAGAACAGTCTCCCTTCCCGAGAATACAGACACTACAAAGGAGAGGGAGGAGCAGAGGGACCAGAAGGGAAAGGGGCCTGGCGCCTTTTAAATCGGGGTGACCATCCACCACCCCCCTCTCCCACTGGAAGGACCACACCTTCCTAGGAGGCATCCCCTTCCTCCACCCCTTCCGGTGACCCTCAGGAAAGAGGCATGTAATTGCTCTCTCGCCCCTCAAAACAAGGAGGGCGTCCACCTCACCACCTCCTTCACCCCACCCACTGAATCACAGACCCTCCTTGTCTCCCTCCCCCACCCACCCCACTCCCACAGCCCTGCTTCCGCCCAGAGGCCACGGTGGGCCGAATCTCCCCGCCCCCTCCGAGTCTCCCTCACCCAAAGCAGAGGTGCCCTTACCCTTTCGCCGACAGGTCCGGGGCGGAGCGGGCAGGCGCAGCCCCCTACGGCGCTGGGGCAGCCGCTTCGCTGGAAGGCGAGGAGTGAGGAGGAGGAGGAGGGGGCCTGGCGACACACCGCTGCCCCCCCGCCCCCCCGGAGCCCCAGCGAGCCGCCCAGCCCAAGCTCTGCGACAAGGGGCGGGGGGTGGGGGGGAGCGAGGGGACGCCCGGGGTCGAGGAGGCGCCCTCAGCGCTTGGGCTCAGCTAAGATGGCGCGGGGAAGTGCCGGGAGCCGCGGCCGCCGCTCCGGGGGAACCGGCCCGGGCCTCGGCCGCCTCTCGTCCTCTCACAGCCGAGGCCCTGTCGGTCCCCCGCCGCGGCCCCTCGGCGGGCAGGCCCACGCACAGCCCTCGGCCGCCACCACCACCACCACCACCACCAGCAGCAGCAGCAGCCCTGGGAAGGGGGCGCTCACAAAGGGAAGAGAGGCCGCGGGCCGGCCGGCCGGCGGCGGCGGGGCGGGGTCCCCAGGGGCCGGGAGGCCTCCGAGGTTCGTGGGTGCCTAGCGCTCTCGGCCCGCGAAGGGCGCAGGCAGGCGGGACCCCTCCTCTCTCCTCAGGCAGGCGGCGGCACCAAGGCACTCTCTTTACCACCCTCCCTCTCGCCCTCCGAGCCGCCCTGAAGCCAGAGAGCCCGGCCGCTGCCCAGGTTCCCCCCCCTTCCCCGACACCACTCCCCTCCTCCCGAGAGTCATCCCAGGGCTCCGATCTCGCGAGACTTCCCGCCTGACAGGCCCAACCCTGCGCGAGACAGACACGGCTGCGTGCGCGTGCGCGGGAGCGCCCTCGCGGGAGCGCGCGAGGACCAGCTCGGGGCGGAGTCTCGCGAGTGCCCCAGATCCCCAGCCTCTGTCCAGCCTGGCCTCGTTCGGCTGGCAACTCTTGTGCCACGCCAGCGTCCGATGCATTCATTTTCCCCTGAAATCTGAGAAAGAGGAGCTTATCTGCTCTCCTTCCCTCTTCCCATTCCCCACACCATCCGCCCGCCACTCACCCTGCGATGGAGAAGTTTGCCTCGGCATGTAGACTATCCCATTCTTACATCCTTAGTTCAACCCCGCCCCCCCCCCCCCCCCCCGTGGGATTTAGAGGTAAACCGGTCAGTGTAATCGGTATGTAGTTGAGTTGTAAGGTTCTAATAGTTTATAACAGTTTTTGGGATGGTAATAAGAGAAATACTAATCTAAACCACCCTGTATGCTGATGGTAGGAAATAGACAAATTCTTGAAAAGTTTTTGTGGATTTTATTTTTTAGTAGGTTGAGTGATGAGAAGTTTTGAAACAAGAGTAGTAAACAGTCCTAACGATCCTAATTCAGGGAAAAGTTAGAGCTTCTCATTTTTTGTGTGTGTGGTAAAAACTTTTTTCCCAGGGGAAAAAACCCTTTCGTGGACTATAAAGGGAGCAATTTTATTCAAGAACTGAAAGAGGTGCCTAAAATGCAGTCATAAAAAATCGGTTCTTTTCAACCAATTAAACAACTGATAAAGATTTGTTGTGTGAGACTTATGAGTAAAAATGTACTCCAAAACAGTTATTAGGAGAGACAATAAACTGGCTTTGATCAGAAAAACAAGCTATCTGCTTCGATGGGATATACATATAATTTGTTCCAAAGATTCTCTCACAAGGTAAGGGTCCTTCTGTTTGTCTGTTAGTCATTTCTCTTTTCACCTGTATTGACACTCTCAAATGGCAACTGCCCCTCTAGTTGTCAATGAATCCAAAGCGCGCGCGCGCGCGCGCGCACACACACACACACACACACACACACACACACCCTAGTTCCTCCTTCTTTGAGGGTAAAGAAACATTACCATCTTCACATCTCTTCCTTCACAGCCAAACTTTTATTTATTTTTATTTATTTATTTTAATATATTTTATTGATTTTTCACAGAGAGGAAGAGAGAGGGATAGAGAGTTAAAAACATCGATGAGAGAGAATCATCGATCAGCTGCCTCTTTCACGACCCCACCGGGGATGTGCCCCCAACCAACGTACATGCCCTTGACTGGAATCGAACCCAGGACTTTTCAGTCCGCAGGCCGACGCTCTATCCACTGAGCCAAACTGGTCTCGGCCACAGCCAAACTTTTAGAAAAGTTATCTATTTTCTCACCTCCACCAGAACTGATCTTACGAAGGGCAAGAGTAACTTCCCAGTTACTATGTCTAGCGGAATCATTTTAATCCTTTCCTTCTTGACATCTGCAATGTTTGACATAGTTATACTCTTTCCTCTTTGGCTTTTTCAACACCACTCAAAACCAGTTTTCTTTCTACCTTCCTGTCCCCAGGATTTCTCTTCCTCCACCCACCTCTTAAATGATGCCCCGCCAATCTTTATCCTTCTGAAAGTGTTCCAGCAAGAATGTTCACGTCTAGCCCTAGCCGGGTTGGCTCAGTGGATAGAGTCAGCCCTCGGTGGACAGAGTAGAGTCAGATTGAAGGGCTCAATTCTGGCCAAGGGTATGTATCTTGTACCTCTGTTGCAGGCTCTATAGAGTACATACAGGAGGCAACTGATGGATGTTTCTCTCTCTCTCCCCATCTCCTCCATGCTCTCTAAAATACTATGGAAAAATATCCTCGGATGAGGACTAACAACAACAAAATGTTCACTTCTAGTTATTTCAAACATTGGGGAATGGAAAGAGATTCAAGTTTTCCCATAGTATTCATTCTTAATTTTTCATGGAAAATTTCAAGCATACACTGGAAATTGAACTATGACCTCCTGGTTCATAGGTCGACACTTAACCACTGAGCCTCTCCCACCGGGCGGTACCAACTATGTTTTGACCTTGATAGAAAAGTTACTCAAGCAGAGACAAAAATCAAGGATAAGCTCTTTCTCTACATCGTCTTATTTAATCCTCACAACAAACTTGTGAGGTAGGTACTATTATTATTACCTGCATTTTATAGGTAAGGAGACCAGAGTTCAAAGAGCTTATGTCACTTGCCCAAGATCATCATCTAGTAAGTAAATGGTGAACTAGAATTTTAAACTAGTTGTCAATGAATCCAAAGCACATTCTCTCCACCATATTGTAATCCTGGCATGACCAACTAAGGACAAGCTTGATACCATATACATATTTCCAGTGTGTGAGAGAGATGCATGACCACATGTAATGTCATTGTATTTGTTGTTGCACATGTATCTGTGGGATAGCTTGTCAAAGGGTGGGTGGGTGCTCTGACTGATATGGTATCTATCCAATGAGACTATCTTTTCAGTATTGTCACTCAGTAAAAGATCAAGTCATGTTCAACTCTATGTAACAAATACTTATTGAATTTCTACTGTGTGTTAGGCTTACATAAAATATAGAAGAGGGCAAAAGAAACTAATGTTTATAGAGTTACCCTAAACCAAGAACTTTATGAAGTGCTTTATATTCATCATCTTCTTGATCTTCCCAAAAACCCTGAAAGAAGGATGGTGATGATGACTCTCATTACAAAGTACTCGTAATGTTAAATAACTGTGCAAATCACATAGCTAGTAAATAGAGAGCTATTAGAGTACAGGGTCGATCAGACTTTAAGCCCCTGTTTTTATCATTACCTCCCAGTCCCCTTCCTCAAGTGGCTCCCCATACTAGGGGCTCAAAATCCTCTTAGAAATATAAAATCTGCATGCACAAAACATTTAAATAACAATGTAGAACAACCTATGAACAAATGATGCACTGAACCAGACTTTAATTTTACTTTTCTGAACCTCTGTTTCCTGTCTAACTACAATAGACTAAATCATCTCTAGCATCCCCTTAGTTCAAATATCTATAATTACAGGAATGATGCAAATAAGATGGAAAGATAACTTGAATTCCGAAGTTTGTGTGTGTGTGTGTGTGTGTGTGTGTGAGTGTGTGTTCACGCGCACGCGTGTGCATAGTTAAAAACAGAAAGAAAATATTTTTATTTGGGTATTCTACCAGACTTTTACTAAAACTTTCATTAGTCATGGTGATATCTTCATCCAGAATTAGCTAGTGTATACTTCCCCCCCCCCAATAATATTGTGATCACATATGAAAATCTCTATTTCCTTGTACAAGAAAAACCCCAATAAAGCTGTGTGTGTGAGAGGGTAGCTAACGAGAAGGATGCATTTAGAACTTCCAGTTTATAAACCAGGGGCGAGACACTCCGTGGAATGGATAACCATCAAGTAAATAAATAAATACATTATTGGAAACACATTCAGTGCATTCTGCGCTGTTATCAGTGTATCCATAGACTTCATCTTTAGATCTCAGGACCAACTAAGATAGGTTATAGTCTGACTGTCAAACCTTACACAAGCATGTCCACAGAGGCTGCTTGATATATAAGCATGGCTTTACAGGCTGGAAAATAAAAACTCATAATGTAGAGTTGTTTCTTGAGCTCTGCATTCCCATATAATCGGATCCATTTTTTAAAATGCCCTGCCTGTGGAGGCAGCATATTCTTCCATTTTAACCAACAGGAATAGATCAATGTTGGGCCAAGGTACCCTAAGGGTTGTAGAATGCAATTCAGTTCAAGAAAGTCCTGACCTAAAAACCCTTCAGTCTCAGGTATCTATCAGATAAGCACCTGCAGTAAGCCATGAATAAGTTAGAGCAGCTACACCACAGTCTAAAAGACATTCTACCCTGAAGATGCCAAGCAGTGGATGTGACGGTAGGAGAGCAGTAGTTAAAATCATTGGCTGTGGAGTCCCATCTCCATCACTTATGTACTAGCGTCAGTGACTAAATTACTTTGTGTCAGTTTCATAACCAGACTGAGGGTTTCTTTCCTTATCTGTAAAATGGGATAACCATTACCTTCTTCAAGATGATTGTGTGAGGGATAAGTAACATGCAAAGGGCCTAGCCCATGGAAAACGTTTTAAAGAGCTCACCCTTATTTTGTATGTGTGAGAAGGTAAATATTCATCCCATTGCTCTGACACTAGCCTCTGGCAAGCACCCCATGATCCAAATGCATCGTGACTGTCTGGGACTTCTGTGAATGTGGGAAGGGTTGGGCAGCATGTTTGTGGCCTGAGAGGTCTTTGGAATGTGTCTTCGGGACCAATTGGTGATTTTGTCA